AAAAACCGGTCACTGAATTCGTGGTCAGTTTTGGATAATAAAGAGACCACTGATACTTTTTTAGATAAAGGACTAAAATGAACACCAAAGTCAAGTTAAAAGGTTATCAAGCCTGTGTTCTTTTAAGCCAAATACTCAGTTGCTACCTACCTATCAGGCTAATGGGTTTTCTTCACTATAAACCATACGGAATCGGAAACATAGATTTTTTTTCTCTTTATAATCTTCATTTAATCCATTCCTAACCAATACCATATACTATTTTACTACTTACACCTGAATTCCAAGCATATTAGTGTATCATCATAATTCCAGAGTAGAATCAAACCAATCGAAACCCATTTTCATCCCTTGAACATCAACAGCATTCAACAAACCTTCATCTTCATTAATAACAATCAAAAACCCACTTTATCTCCTCATGACATAAACAAAAAATGGATAACCTAGAACTTTCTGCTACAACCTTCTTCTTCTTAAAAATCCATTTCTCAGAACAACACTAACCTCCTTCAACAAATCTTCAAACCCACCAAATCTACAAACCAAACTTTCTTACCTTCAATCAACTCTACCAATCTCCAATCTTCTTCGACAGCAACAACAACAACAACCGAAACCCATGTCAAATCGACATCAAACCCAAACCGCGGTACCCTCACTCGCGACACGGAAAAGCCTCAATCTTCCACCGCGACGGAAATGGGAAGAGGAAAGAGTGTTGAGTGCTTTTGTTCTTTTGTTCTTGGCAATGGCATATGGATTCTCCAGCTTGATCAACTTTTAGAATAGGCCAGAATAGAACCTGGTATGCTGCAATTGGCAGTGGAGAATTATCTCTAAGTAACCTTATGATGTCCAAAATAGGGAAGGTCGGGTTTTACCTGCACATCCAAATTTTCTAAAGTCTAAAAAATGAGCATATGATGAGTTCCATTCCTAACTATGATCATACATATAAAGAAACAAAACTAAAACTAAACCAACCAAAAGAATATCAGCTCCTTCTGATTCATCTTCCCTCATCTCAGTCAAAGCCTCTCTGTAATTAGCTGGATTCATTTGGTAGCTTTTGTTCAGCCATACCAAATTTATGGCAAAATAAGATTCAATTATGTAAAATAGATTAGATATTTGATATGAAGTTTGATTTCAAGATAACACATACGTCTTCTTATCTCTGAATCGGGGGTTTGAATCCAATGCTTCTCTAAAATGAGCTTGCATACCTGTTGGTAGCAGATAAATGGCATAATTTAGGATTGAGTTATATAATTTCCAAGAAAAGATTCATTAACTAATAGCAACGTCCACCAAAATAATAGTGAACTCAGTGACAAATGAATAGCAATTAGCAAAAATGGTGAAATGTTCATGGCAGCAACTAGATGCATAACTAACGGAACTCGAATGCTATGATTATTAGCGAAAGGAAGATAAAATTGTGTATAACTTGCATAAGAAACAAGCTTGTGCATAACAGAACTGCTTCACCTATAAAATTATAAATGTTAATATGCCACACATTTTGAATATTCACCGATATCCAATGCTACAACTTATAATAGATAGCCATCGATTCTAAGTTCATATAATCTTCAATAATTTCCAATGCATGCTGGCATAAACAGAAAGTAAGATAAGAAAAAAGAAATGACCATAAAATTACTTTGCAGTATATGACGTAATAGAAACATGCTGAAAGCCTTCAGCATCAAGAGCCACTCGCATCGCTCCTACCCGACCGTCCATCATATCGTTGGGGATGACAACATCTGCTCCAGCCCGTGCCTTTTATAAAATATAAAGACAATATAAATTGCGTTAGTGTCTTACTGTGGATATAAAATGAAAAACTTAAAGTTTAGAACATAGAAGCATATGACAATTTCACCAATTAACAATGCTTAATCATTAACTTTCCTAAAGTTTTATAGAAGTTGATAAATTTGCCTTTGAAGGCTATACTGTAGGTGAGTAATTTGTTTAGGAAACCCTGAACAATACAATGGGTAACTTCCTAGAAACAGTACAGAACTCCATTGTCAAAGGAGATTTATAACCTTCCATTAGACGTAACTTAAATATAAATGCACCTTTATCCTCAGAAACCATTGACAACTGATAGAATCCCTTTACCGGAGGTCCAAGAGCACAAGTTGATTGATATCGCATCAACACAAAATTACCTAATGGCGGAGAAAACACCCCCCCCTGCTTATCTGGACCTTGGTCTGAAACTTGAGCACAAGGATGGTATGATGAAACCTCAAGGTTTGCTGTGTTTAATCCGGTTAAGGAAAACGATACATCTGGCAACCCTTCCAGATCAGCTCTACAGTTAATTTGACCAGAAACTAATATATTGTCTGGAATCTCATCTCTGTCATAGAGAGCCGCATGAACAATCTCATGAGTCGTAAACAGCATTCTCTGCTTTCCTTTGGAGGAAGAAGACACGGTGAAACCTATTGTACAGGTAATAAACCTATGGAGGAAGATAAAATTCTATTACAGCTAACCAAACTGTTAAAGTATCAAGCAGGAGAGAACATACAAAGAGAAGGTTCAGAGCAACAAGCTAGTAAATCAGTGTGCCAATCTTCCTGTTGATATGAACCTCCACCTCGAGTTGACATCACGTCATTTTTGGAAACAGAAAATCTGCTCAAGGCCATGCATATAAGCACCAAACACTGTAGTTATGAGGCTAATAACTAAAATGGTAATAAAGGAATGGAAGAAGCAAAAATTTACAGTAGTTAAAATTAAGGGTAAAACTTATTAAGCTGTGGAAGTGGGAAATGAACTACCTTGTTGGCGAAAGAGTATCAACTTTTGCATGGTAATTTTCATCAGATGAACCAACATATAAGATCTTCTAACAAATAAAGATAGCTCCTTTTAGAAGACAAATCAGGCGTTAATCTTGCTTCACCAACAGCCCCTAAACCAGATCCAGCTGCAGCTCCATCCAGAAAAGAAGTCATTCCCATAACCGCAAACACTAAACCAACCCCATTCTTCGTAACAACATCATTGAAACGCTTTTTAGGAACAGCCTGAAACAAAATAGCACAGCACCTCAGAACATAATATAAATATAAAAAATCTCTAAACTGTCTATATTGACATGAACACGGTAGAGGGAACTCACACGGCATCTATGTTGGTCCTGAATTATCAACCCATATTATACGAACAAATGAAACATCACTCTCTAAGTCATCAATCACATTTAGGGGTAAGATATTATGTGAACTAACAGCACTGTTAGAAATATTAATCTTATAGAAATTGATTGCATCCTTAAGGGACCTCTTCGTTCTTATTAATCCATCCGCGAAAAACACCTTCTTTCTTAAATCGTGGAGAAGCTCTTCCCTCAAGGGTACTCTTCTACCCTTTTCATTCACAAAAAACCAGAGTAGAATCAAACCAATCGAAACCCATTTTCAGCCCTTGAACATCACAGCATTCAACAAACCTTCATCTTCATTAATAACAATCAAAAACCCACTTTATCTCCTCATGACATAAACGAAAAATGGATAACCTAGAACTTTTTGCTACAACCTTCTTCTTCTTAAAAATCCATTTCTCAGAACAACACTAACCTCCTTCAACAAATCTTCAAACCCACCGAATCTACAAACCAAATTTTCTTACCTTCAATCAACTCTACGAGAATGAAAGAGGGAGGCTAGGAGAAAGAGAGAGAAGGTGAGAGAAAGTGGGAGAAAGAAAATTAGAAAGAGGGAGAAAGTGAGGGAAAGAGGGAAGACAAAGTTTTCAAAAAAACTGCTGCCACTTGGCAAAATTGGACCATGCTATGGTTGTGTATTTTGTAAATTACCAAAAAGGGCTTAGAGCATCTTCAATGGTGCAATCCATTTTTAGGTTCTTTGTAGGACCCACTCTTTTAAAACAACTCATTCAATTTTCACTTCAATGGTGCAACTCTAAAAAATCCATATTGGATCCCACCATTTTACTTAAAAAATATTATTTATATTAAATTTATTTTATTTAAAATTATAATTTAAATATTTAAATTTTAATTAAAATGATAATTAAAATAATAAATAAAATTTTATATTAAATTATAGTTTTTATATTATAAAATTAATATTTTAATAATTATAGTTTTTATATTATAAAATTAATATTTTAATATAAGAACCATTGAAGAATCGTTGCATATTTAAGAACTTTTCCATCTTGAAAACAACAAATATGAGTGCCATGTTGGCAAACCCACTCTAAGAACTCCCATTGGAGTTGGTCTTAGAGCATCTCCAATGATACAATCCATTTTTAGGTTCTTTGTGGGACCCACTCTTTTAAAGCAACTCATTCAATTTTCACTCCAATGGTGCAACTCTAAAGAATTTATATTGGGTCCCACCACTTTACTTAAAAAATATTATTTATATTAAATTTATTTTATTTAAAATTATAATTTAAATATTTAAATTTTAATTAAAATGATAATTAAAATGATAATTAAAATAATAAATAAAATTTTATATCAAATTATAGTTTTTATATTATAAAATTAATATTTTAATATAAGAACCATTGAAGAACCGTTGCATATTTAAGAACTTTTCCATCTTGAAAACAACAAATATGAGTGCCATGTTGGCAAACCCACTCTAAGAACTCCCATTGGAGTTGGTCTTAGTGTAGTTTTAAGTAAAAATGAAGTAAAGGGTAAATTAGTAAAAATGGTGACATTTGATTGTAATGGGTAGGTAGTTGATAAGATGACAATTTAATCCATTTTAGATCTCAGGTGATGTGTTTCTTGCCAAACCAAATTCTTAAATTCAAGTAGTCCATAAATGGACCAAATTACTACAACATTGAGTATCTTGTTCTCACATACATGTAAGAAAATATCAATGTATCCATCAGCTATTAATAATACATGTAGATACAAAATGAAAATAAGTTTCTTTAGGCCCCTAACAACATAGGCCTTTAACATAAGGATTTTACTTCATGTATTTGTGCAGGAATTTCCTATGGAAATCATTCCTGATGGTATCATTGATGAATCGCTTAGCCAGCTTGGTTTCACCACGCGCTTGATTTTTGAAAACCACGTCATCATCCCACCTAAGTCAAACAAAACTTTTAAAAATGAGATCATGACAGTATATTAATGGATTTTAGATATTAAAAACTGAATCACTATAAACTTTAAAGTGTTTAAAAATTGCAGGTCACTCTTTCCAAAATATATTAGAAAAGTACAAACAAGTGCCTTTAAATTATTGTTCAAGGACTCAAAAGAGGATTAAGGCAAGTAAAAACAGTCATTTTGGTTAGGCAGACAGTTCGATAAATATCTAGATTTGAACCTTCTTTTGACATTGAAAGATGTAGGATTATTTATCAATGGGTTTCCGCGCATAAGCTCTGCTTCATTTACTTTAAGATCTTCCTCTTGTTGTTGCCGTTCCTGCACAAAAACAATCAACATTATATTCTTTTTGTAAATAAGAGTGATTTACATTTGTTCATAACTCACAAAATATATTGGAACCAATTAGCAAAAGGTATCGGTGTTGCCGATGGCGGATGGCGGTCCATGGTGAAGAGCCAAAATCCCGCCATAGCGGCCACTTTGCCGTAGTGGATTATGGTGGAAAACACCCGCAATATCGGTCGATATTTACCAATGTGGCGAGGCCAAAAACCGTCATGTATATCCACCATACCGGCCATGACGCCGCAATTTGATAACACTAAACCACCATGTATATCCGCCATAGTGGCCATGACACCGCAATTTGATAACCCTAAAAGGTATTAGTTACTAAAATAGAATAGAGGTGTTACAAACCCAGATGTAAGAATTGAATAGTTGATATAGCAAATAAGAGTGCATTTCTTATTGGAGTGAAAATTGAATATGGAAGAAGAGAATTTTCATGCAAGGATTTCCCCTTTCACATGAAAATTCTAATTGTCAAAATGAACCCTTTCGCCCTTCCTCCTCCAGTACCCTTTTTATCTATCTAATAGACGACATCACTTTTAAATTTCAAAGGCTCGATCTACCTTCATCTGATTCTAACTAGTTTCTCTAACAGTTTTTCTCACTTCTATTTTCAGAGAGGTAATACAATAAGCTCAATGTCTCATCTTCAATGGCATGAGATTAAAACGTTAAGTATAAAAAAGGAGTAATGTTACCTTGCGCAGCTTTTCCTCTGCCCTTTCCTTCTTTATTTGTTCAAGCTCGGCCAGCAAAGCTTCAGTGTCATCTTCATCGTCATCATCACTGACAGACAGAGACACGAAGTTAGTTAATGTAAGATGTAAGAAGGAACTTATTCCAAGCATCAATGTAAGATGTTTGACTTCAAATCAAACACTGACAGGTTATCTAAATGAATCCAGAGCAACTTGGCTTACAAAAATCATCACAAAAAATAATATATTGGCTAAAAAAATACATTAAGTGTGCCTTTTATAAGGGGATCAAATATCAAAAGTACCCCTCTATGTGATAATATGTCATCACATTACCTATTAATTATAAATAAAATACTGACTGCCCAAATGCTGATAGAAATAGCACGCATGGTGCACATATGCTCAAGTATGCTGCTTGAAAGCATGTCTAAATAAAATAACAAGCCGTGATTATTCTACAAATCCTAAATGACCTATACATAAAAAGAATAACATAATTTACACGTGTACACACATGGTTGACCGTGTCTTTGTATTGCTGCTATATAGACTAGTATATATACTTGTTAACTTGCACATTAATATTTTTAAAATCTGACTTCAATTTAATTCAATTCTGTTACATATACACATCAAAGGTACTTTATATAAACAATTAATCTTGTTTACATGAAGAGTATGCAAAATTCTCAAACCTTTCGTCATCGCTGTTGACTTCAACATCCGAATCATCTGCATCAACACTGCGTGGAACAATGTGGTCTTCGAAATCTCTTTTTGTTCCTGGTAAGATAAAGACAAATCAAATTAATAGACTGAATATAAATACTTTATGGCTTCTATCTTTATCCCTTTTTAAAAGTGGTAACTGGAAGACCATGTCAATAAGCAAAGTAAAGAAGTGAATCCATACTTAAAAGTAGTAGGAAAAATACCTTCCAGAAATAGATGATTACCCTTTCCATGATCTCTGTCATCTGCAAGATCATAGAATAGAGTCGGTTAAGCATTTACAATTGGCAACAAAAGTGAAAACTCATCTCACCAAAAAATGAAATTCAAATGCTACAAGCAGAACCTTGCAAGACAATAGACATTGATAGTTCTTAGATTTTACCATTATAAAACTTGTTTTTTGATGAGAAGTGTCTCCTTTCACGTTCATCCAGTTCATCGCGTAGGTTTCTTCTCTTCAATTCATCTTGTGTATCCTGACCGTCTTTCCTAGAAAAGTTTAAACACAAATTATTAAGAGAAAAACAAAACCGGTGGCATCAGTAAAATTGCACACTGATGTGAAACATTGACAGCATGTGGAAAGAGCCCCGTGGAATCTTAATAATCATTTAAAAGAGAAAAGCTTTCATGTTTCACCAATGAAACTTCGTAAATAAACTATTTCAGAACACATTTCAAATGTTACAAAATTTGAAGTGCACGCAGATGTTGTTCATGTAGTTCAGTTGCAGATTTCCCTCAAAGAGCAATTGAGCACTCAAGAGTTCGGGTTTTCAAACAAAAGCAAGATATTAAAACGAATTCAAATTCTCCACAGTTGCATATTCCATCAAAAATATCATTACAGCAACTTCATGAATCAACTAAATGGGATAATCTATGTGAAACTGCAACACCTATCAATATTATCGATTCCTAAAACAATTAAAAGGCTAGAACGAACGATTTCCATAACAAAAAACTATGGATTTTTACAACGAATGATTGACCCGGTAACAAATTTGTGAGCCACAGAAATTACAGACAGTAATTAGACCTAAGGATTTAATAAACAACCTAATCAACCGAAACTCATTAATATTATGTAAATTCAACATCAAAAAAAAATTGGGGGAAAAAACCCTACCTGGGTTTGAGAGTGGTGTGTGAGGCTATGTCTCTTGAGGAGTACTTCTGGGAAGGACCGAAAATTCGAGTACCGCCTTGTTCATTTCCACCTTTAGCAGGTGCCCAAGTTGGTCTGGCCGCGGTGGTCATAGGATCGAGGTGAGAACGAAGGCTTGACGGAGACGAAGAAAGAGATCGAGGTTGGGAACAAGGGTTTCGAGAAGAAAGAGAAAATGAATTAAAGATGAAAGGGATATTGTTTATATATATATATATATATATATATATATATATATATATATATATATATATATATATATATATATATATATATATATTAAACCAATATTTTTGAAAAAAGATTTATTAAAACCGATTAATCTGCTAACAATTTTTTTTTATGTTGTAACCAATTTTTACTTATTTATTTTAATTGAAATTTATTATTTATTTATTATTCACACAATTTTTTTATTAAAATTTAATTTACGTCCTAACAATAACAATAAAACGTTATTTATCCTACTGTCAATGTTAAATTCAATTCCTAATTTTATAATAAAAATAAATAAATCTTAAAAAAATATTATTCATATTCGAAATCTTGTGTTATTTAATATTTTGTTGTTGTGGATCTTAATTTTTAATTTATTTTGATTCTTTAATTTTAAAAAAATTATATTAATTTTTGAATTTTTCAATTAGTCTTTTTTAACAATAAAAAAATTAAAAAATTAATTATTAAATTTGTCGCTGATTAAATAAAAAGCAATAACATAAACTTTTTTAAATTAAAAAATTAAAATAAACCCTAAAATATAAAACTATAACAAATATTAAAAAAAAATAAAAACTCAATCATACTATTAATCTCACCGTTTATCTTAAATTCAGTTTTCAATTTTTAATTAGTGACATTATAAAATTCTATCAATTAAATGAATTAATTTTTCAAATATTAAAAAAGTATTAAGCACAAAATCAACATTTCAAAGTCATAACCGCCTTTTTTTTATATACTTATATTCCTAATTATCTTTTATTACTTTAAATCAATAACAAATATATTGTTACACTAACTAAGTTCTAAAATAACTAATAAGATTTAAAAAAATTTAAATATTAAGATTGAAACTATTAAATACTAATGTTGATTGCATATTATAGGTCTTTTTTTATTTTTAATATTTTATTTTTATATTTGATAATTTTCTGATATTTCAACTATCTACCAATGACATTTTTATTGTATTACATTAATGACATTTATTTTGTGATGATTTTTATTAATATTTTATTTAATATATCTCCTTAATTGCTTTCTATTTCAATATAATAATAATCTATAACAATATATAAAGGCAATAGTTAGTTTTGGTGTAGCCTTTTATTTTTCAATTTTGTCCAATAATAATAATAATAATAATAATAATAATAATAATCTATAATCTATAACATATATAAAGGCAATACTTGGTTATTCGTGTAGCTTTTTTTATACCAAATTTACCCTTTTTTTAAAATATATAATTTATACAATAACTTCCATTGAACTACTACTATCATCTTTCATATAACTCCCTACTAATAACTTCACACATAACTTCCATGTAAAATTAATATTAAATAAAAATATATTATTTATATTTATATGTGTGCAATAAAAAAGCGGACACGTCTGGACGCTAATAATAATAATAATAATAATTATAATAATAATAATAATAATAATAATAATAATAATAATAATAATAAACATTCAAAACATATTTTTACTTTTTATGATTTTATTTAATGTGTCCCTCACCATTATACCTACTCTTTTCCTACTTATTTTTTTTATAATTAAATTATTAATTAATTAAATAAATATTTCTAAATTTAAAAAAAAATTAAATAGTTAATAACTAATTAAAAAAATTTCTCAAAATTTCACCAATTATATTTATTAAGTTGTCACATAATTGACATTTTCACCGTAAGTTCTTATTTTTAATATTGACATTTTTACCATAACTTCTTATTTTTATGATTGACACAACATATTCTTCAAATTAATTAATTAATTAAAAATTTTAATATTCTTTGCATTAGAGCATCTAATGCAGATTTTTAATAGTTAATTTTTTTATAATTAAGGATGATTATAAAGAATTTAAATTGGAATGACTATAACATGACATTTAATTCACTAACTTTTAGTTTTCGGCAATTATATAGTTAACGTATTTTATTTATTTTAAAACATATAATATTATTATTTATATTATTAAGAAACAACTATCATTAATGGTAACTTCAATAAAAAAAATAATTACAATTAAAAAATATTTTATATATGATTAAGTTTTAGTTTTTTATAAGCAACTATCATTAAAGTAAAAACAACTCAAATCAACTATAAATTTTTTAAATTTTACAAATCACTTTGGACCCACAAAAAATATCTTAGTTTACTCAGTTAAAATAATTCCACTAAAAATACTCTATAGGTTATTAATGAAGTCAATTTTTGAACCGCTCCACTCCCGTGAAGAAGTAATGTTGATGGTTTCCTAAGTAACAATAAAACCATGTTTTTAATTTTCAATTTTTTTCAAATATTATTATATTTAAAAACAGTTTCTTCTACACTCGCATTATTTTTATTTATTTTATTATTTCTCTATTTGTATATCTCTCAAAAAATAGTATGAACAATCTCTCCAATACTTCAATTTAATTTTCATTAATACTAACGTTCAGACGGGCATTCGCGTGCTCGTCTGTCTATTATTTTAATACACACATGTAAAAATATAAATATATATTTTTATTTAATTTTAATTTAAATGAAAATTGTGTAAAAAATTATTAGTAAAAATTTTGTGAAAGATAATAGTAATTGTTCAACAAAAATTATTGTGTAATTGATAGTATAAAAATTTAAACCGTCAAATAATCAACATTTGTTAGAAGGAAAAGTTAAAATTTACAACAAAAATTGAAAATGATACATTTAAAATAAAATAAAAAATTATATCGAAATCATGTTTTTCCTTTATATATAAGTGATAGATTAATTGGATTTTCATTGATAAGATTCAATGAGACATTTATATGTTTAAATGTTTTTATGTATATAATTAGTTATATATTTATAAATTATTGTCAACAATTTGTGAGAATTTGTTTAAATTTGTTGTGAACGAGAATTATGATTTTTTTTAGGATTCATTATAGATTGTCAGTTAATTAGTTACTGAAATTATGGAAATCTTTTTAACATTATAGAAAATAATTGTGAAAACTCACTATTTTATATATATATATATATATATATATATATATATATATATATATATATATATATATATATATATATATATATATATATATATATATATATATATATATATATATATATATATATATATATATAATTACTTTATAAGTGTCATTTCTATAATAAAAAAATTAAAGCACCGCCTCATTGTTATATTGACTACAAATTGCATTTAGAAATTTAGGTCATCATTTAAAAAAAAAACGATAATTTATTTCTTCCACGTTCTCTATGATTCAATTATTATTATTATATTTTACTTTTATAACTAATTTCAATTTATTTAGATATTATATTTTATATTCAAATGTTCATTTCTACCCATAAATCAAAAGAAACTACAACAAAATTAGATCTTGCAAAATTCATTATAAAAAAATAGACTTTTAAAATTTATATTAATGAATATATCATCATATCTTTGGATGGTTCACCCGTTATATCGATGCAAGATGATTATTATAATTATTTCATGTAATTAAATTAATTTTGTTTAATGAAAGGTGTTTTTTTTCTGATTAAGTGTTAGGGGTTGGTGATGGAACAAATGGACAGCAAAGTGATGAGTATATAACACTTGAAATTCTAGATGGCTTATTCATTAAAAGTTCAACTGATTCAACTTCATCTATTGTTCATCTAAGTCTATTAATTGAATATTTAAGACTTGTGGGAGGAAGGCGTTGAAGCTGACGATGCATATTCTGGTGAAAAGTTTAAAATGCGTGCAATGCAATTTTGCACAATCAATGACTTTCCTGCATATGGTAACTTTGGTTGGATATAGTGTCAAAGGACACAAAGCGTTTCATATTTGTGAATCTAATACCTATTATCCCTAACTTGAGTTTGAAAAAAAGACCGTTTAGCTTGAGCATCAAAAATTTCTAAAACCCGGTCACTCTTATTGTAGATTGCAGAAGCCTTTTAATAGAGAGCATGAGTTTGATATCGCTTGTAAACCTTTAACCAGGGATGAAGTTGAAGGTGGGAAATTTATTTTGATTCTTTAATTTTAAAAAAATTATATTAATTTTTGAATTTTTCAATTAGTCTTTTTTAACAATAAAAAAATTAAAAAATTAATTATTAAATTTGTCGCTGATTAAATAAAAAGCAATAACATAAACTTTTTTAAATTAAAAAATTAAAATAAACCCTAAAATATAAAACTATAACAAATATTAAAAAAAATAAAAACTCAATCATACTATTAATCTCACCGTTTATCTTAAATTCAGTTTTCAATTTTTAATTAGTGACATTATAAAATTCTATCAATTAAATGAATTAATTTTTCAAATATTAAAAAAGTATTATTTTCTATCATTTTAAAAGCACAAAATCAACATTTCAAAGTCATAATCGCCTTTTTTTTTTATATACTTATATTCCTAATTATCTTTTATTACTTTAAATCAATAACAAATATATTGTTACACTAACTAAGTTCTAAAATAACTAATAAGATTTAAAAAAATTTAAATATTAAGATTGAAACTATTAAATACTAATGTTGATTGCATATTATAGGTCTTTTTTTATTTTTAATATTTTATTTTTATATTTGATAATTTTCTGATATTTCAACTATCTACCAATGACATTTTTATTGTATTACATTAATGACATTTATTTTGTGATGATTTTTATTAATATTTTATTTAATATATCTCCTTAATTGCTTTCTATTTCAATATAATAATAATCTATAACAATATATAAACGCAATAGTTAGTTTTGGTGTAGCTTTTTATTTTTCAATTTTGTCCAATAATTTACACTATTATTCCATTAACACCCTTTACAAAAAATCAACTACATA